ATCCAGAGTGATCTCCTGTGAATATGTTAAGAACCCAGCTCTGGTGGTGGGCTCAGCTGCTGACTGTAAAACCTCCACTTCAGTCGGTGAGACGTTTGTCCATTCCTCTCTCAGGACGTCCTGTAGTTTGTCTCTGCTGACAGGGCCGCCGTCACGTCCTCAAAGTAGCTCAGAGGACGGATGTTGATGCTGGAGGAGTGTGTAGCTTCACTGAGGGCTGGCAGTGAGGGGGGGTAGCTGAGCAGAAAGTGGTTGTGATCCTCTGTGTGAGACAGCAGCTTCAGCTCAGCGTCTCTCCTCTTCAGCTCAGAGATCTCCTGCTCCAGCTTCTCCTGGAGCTCTCTGACTCCACTCACTTCTCTCTTCTGCTGGGATCTGAGCTGCTGCTTCACATCAGAGCTTCTTTTCTCCATGAGACGGATCAGCTCAGTGAACGTCTTCTCACTGTCCTCCACTGCTTTCTCAGCAGAGCCATTTACGGCCTCCACCTCCTGCTGAAGCAGCTTCACCTCCTTCTCTCCGTCCTGGATTCTCTGCTGGATGTTTAGTCGACTCCCCTCCAGCTCTCTCTGCCTCTCAGTCCTCTCTGCTGCAGCTGACACCGTGTCGTGGCCTTTGTGTTCGTCCACAGAGCAGATATAACAGATACTCTGCTGATCAGTGCGGCAGAACAGCTTCATCACCTCGTCGTGATGAGAGCAGATGTTCTCCTGGAGCTTCTTGGAGGGCTCCACCAGCTTTTGTTTCTTAAAGACAGGTGATTCATAATGAGGCTGGAGGTGTTGGTCACAGTAAGAGGCCACACACAGCAGACAGGACTTACAGGCTCTCAGTTTCCTCCCAGTGCAGACATCACAGGCCACATCTCCAGCTGGCAGCATAGCAGAGATCAGCAGGAGCAGGTGGGGGTCCAGTCTTCTTCAGCTCCTCCACTGAAGCTGCTATGATGGTGTTTTTCAGCAGGACAGGCCTCGGTGTGAAGCTCTGCCTGCACTGAGGGCAGCTGTGGCTCTTCTTTTCATCCTCTCCGTCCCAGAAGCCTTTAATACACTTCATGCAGTAGCTGTGTCCACAGGAAGACGTCACCGGATCCTTCAGTAGATCCAGACAGACCGGACAAGATAAGATTTCCCGGTCCAGCTGAACTCCTTTCTGCGCCATTTCAGCTCTCAGTGGGAGCGAGTGTGTGAGTTGCACTTCCTGAGAACTGAAACTATGAGCTGTGATCTGAACAACATGTGTGGGCGGTGAATTTGGCCTATCAGCTCTTGTACTTTACGTTTTGGTTACACCCATCCTCCTCTGTGTGGATCTAAAGGGGAGGAACCAGGACATACAGAGTGGAGCTGGCCGTGTCTGAGAGCAGGAAGAAGAGGGAGGGCTCATCAATCTCTGACTCATTCCAGGAGGAGGAGCAGACACTCTGAACTGTTTCCTCATTCACAAACGGAGCCTCGCTTACAACCTGCTCTTCATTTGAAAACATTCTTCAGCTGAAAAATATCTCCTGTCGCCTCAGACTTTTGTAGCAGACAGCTCCGAACTACTAGTAAAGGTAGCACGTCACAGTTTCAGTTGCTAACAAACACTAAAAGTCTACATTACTGTACTCGGGCACAAACGCGTGAAACCGCCCACACCCAAAACCACTTAACCGACATTCCAAAACCTGTTTTACTCGTTTTGTAAACAAATCCTAATGTTTTTGCATTGTAGGCATTGAAAGTTGTTCTGAGTCAATGGAGAGAGGCGGAATAGGAGGAGAGAGGTAGCATAGGAGTAGGAGATGGAGATAGGAGGGAGAAGATAGAGGAGGAGAGGAGAATAGAGGAGATGGGGGAGAACACGACAGGTACGTATAGGTAACAACAAAAATTTTCAAGAATGTACCTTCGGAAATAAAAGAGATCACGAAGTGAGGCTAACGAGCTCAGTTGTTATTTCGTCAAAACCACAAATGCCAGTACCTACGGTACACTAAACCACGAACAAGTTACCACCATCGTAAAATATTACCTCACAACTTACCGTTGTTCAATTAAAAGTCTACAGACACGATGTCTTGCACACGTCACAAAACGTGTTCACGGCTCGTCTTGACGCGTTCTGCCCCACGTCTCGACTTGCACACAATCTCAAAACTCTAAACTCGACTCCAAACGAGAACCACTCTCAAATTTATTAATACGAATACA